GAATGCGCAACAAAAGCATGCTAAAATTTTTGATTGGAGGTTTTAGCAATGTTCGTCCAAATTAGAACCCGCGAAACTGCCGAGGTACGTCAGACCCAAACACAGTAAAATACTGAGTTTGTTCTGAGCTGTTTGCTTCCAATTTGTATTCGCCGTATTTTTTGCTCCTCAGATAATAACGTCCGAATTCTTCGCATTTTTCTGGATATCTTTTTATTAAACGAGTAGGATGAAGTTACCTTCGGCCCGGGCCACTGTGGCTTGTCCCACGGCTTGTTGGCATCATGTTCACGTGCTTTCAGGTAATCCTTCAATCGGGATGCTTCCATATCGCGATGCCGATCTAAGCTCTCCGTCAAGTAAGCACTAGTTGTTATAGGGCGTGTTTCCACTGCCTAAAATTTTAGGGTCTTTCAAAACAACTGGCTCAAACACATCCTTATTACCCATTCCAATTATTACTTAGTTCGGTAGTAAATTGATACTGGTATGCCTTGAGTGGTACCTGACAACTGTTCGAGCGGTCATCAGAAAGTTATCGCATACACACCGAAGACGCGATGTTACTGGCTGGAAGCATGCAGCCCAGGATCAAAGGGCCTGACATGGCTGTGCTCGGCATGTGGGAGCATTCCAGCAACATCACTAATATAGGATACCTGTGCTGACAAGCTTGGCGCTTTTGACACTTCTGGCATGCCATGCAGCGTTTAGCCTCCAAATTAACTCTCGAAAAAAAAAAACTGTTGAACTCCGCAGTTAGGTGGTCGCTTTTGATATAGTACAAACCCGGTTATTCCAGACCTCACCAAAATCAAGAGACAAAATCACTTCGCATTTCACCGTTCGTGAAACATGAAGACGCTTGGTAGTAGACTGACTGATAGTACACTGTTTACAGAAACCAGTCGCCTACAAGACTGCCGATGGTTTTCATCATCGAGAGCTGCCTTACAGCCAGGCTGATGACGCTTTTGACTCTTTAGCGTATGTCAGTACCAATTTACCATCGAACAAGTAAATCGCAGAGGGACAACAGAAAGGTTTTATTATTTCTGTAAAATAGCAACTAAAAAGTTTTAATTGAAAATAAGAAATTCAAAAATTCAGGATTTTTTCTAAAGTCTCCTGTTCAATGAGACAGTAAATTTTGTTTTTTCTCAAAATCCATTGTAAAGTTTAACAAATAAAGAACTGAAGCTGCTCCTTTACTGAATGAGAAAAATATAAACCCTTAATTTTCGTTGTTCCAGAGGTTCCAATTTAAGAAACGATCGTTTGCTGTGTTCACTGGGAAAATCCAAATTTCGTTGTTGTATTCTTGGAATTTCTCGACTGTACGTGGGAACTGATGCATTTGAACTGATTTTTGGATCAATGATCTGAAGCTTGAAGTGGTCCTGTGTTTCTTTCACCTGCAAAACTAGATCTATTAACTGAATTTCAAAATACTGAAAATCAATGGATTTACTGATCTTAGGTTTTGTTCTCAGATAGTTATTCAGCAGAGATGAATGGCGAGGTTGCCAGCTCCACGACAATAAAACAACAACTGGTTGAAATACGAAAGTTGGTTATTCATTTTTATGCGTTTTTGCCTATATGCAAATTGCAAAAACGCATATTGGGACGACCCTGT